TCAATGACAGTCATCTAGAGGTGATTTTACTTTGTCTTTCTTGTTGGGTTAGTGGACTATTAGCTTAATTTGGGTAATGAAGGTTTCGTTTTGGCTTAATTTCGATTTTCAACTATAGTTGAATATTGGGTTTTAATGGATTTTTCCGTACCAGTTTTATGCCACTTCTGGTACTCCTGCAACCAACCCTCTGGGTGTGGGTGGACCATGCAGCCTTAGCCTGTAGTGTGGTCGCAAAGAACTTATGAAGACGAAGAGAAAGGCTTGGAACTTGGAAGACGGAGAGACCGAAGCGTCGATGGTGAAGATTCGAAGACGCAGGACGGCGGGCACTGTTGCAATTTTTTTTTTAATTTTTTAATTTTTAAAATTTTAATATACTTGTATGTCTAAAAATAAAATTTGGTGCCCTAAGCAATTTTGGAGCCTGGACAGGTTAGCATTGGGCCAGGACCGGGCCTGCTAGGTAGAAAGGAGAAATTCAAGACAAGTCGGACCCGAGATCAATCTGCTAGTCTCAATGTGCAAGATCAGCCGTAGATTCAATTGGAAAGATCATCATTACATCAACTCTCGAGCTGTCCAATCAATTTTACGGTGGAATATTCAACCTGTTCTCTCTCTCTCTCTCTCTCTCTCTCAATTTCCAAATTTTGACTTTTTTCTAGAAATAGACTAGATGTGTTTATTTGTTCATTTGCTTACGTTCCAATGGACGTCAAACGCACATTCGTTTGTTTTTATTAATGCCGAAAACAGTGCAAATGCATTCCAAATAGAAAAATTGTGTATAATGGTTTCGTTGAAACTCAAATCACGAGATCTTTGTGAACTTAGTATTGGGTGAGGAACATGACTGCGATGAAGGAATCTAAAAAGCCAAGAACGCTGGCGTCCACGACGGCGATGAAGACAGCGAAGCAGCTTGGGGTCGCCGCCTAAGATGCTGGGAGGCTGGGACCGGTGAAGAAGATGGAGGCAACAGCTTGAGAGGCTTTGATTTGCAGAATTGGAGTTGGTTTTGAGACACTATTTCGACGATGGGACACTCTGCAATTGTGGAATTGGAGTTGTTTTGATCTGATCTCAAATTGTGGAATTGGTTTTCGAAGAGGAAAGTTTTCAGACAAAAAAAAAGAGATAATTAATAATAAAATATTAATAAAAAGGGTTTAAATAATATAATATTTTATTTTATTAATTATCCTGTTTTTAGTCCGACGTTGCCACAAACACTTCACTAAGTTAGTCCAGGTTAGTCTAGTTTAAGCCAGTCCAGCTTAGTCCCTGAAGCTAGTCCAGTCCAAAATAGTCTGGTGCAACAAACGCACTCGTTAAGTTTTGCCATGGAAACTTTAGTTGGGCGGTACAATAGGATTTGATCACAATAAATTTTGGGATGCATTCATAATATATATATATATATATATATATTGTGAGATGCATCAGAAGACTCAGATGGACTAACTGTAACTGCAACTGTAATTGGGTTACTTGTGACTGTAACTTATGGACCCTAAGCATTGGTTATGTTCAATTTTGGGTGTATTTTTCCTGTATATGTAATGATACATGCAAAATAATTTACTTATAAAATAAAAAATTGTTATTTGATTCAAAATAAATTTATCTATATTTTATATAATAATATAGGTAAATTATTGCACGCGCACATATATATATATATATATATATTAGTAGTAAAATATGCCCAATATATATAATAATGCATGAAAATAATTCACCTACAATTAAAGGAAATTTGATTAAAAAATAATATATCTACTACTTTTTGTTTATGAATTTCAATTTCTTTTTTTATATTACAAACATAATGTACCTACAATATATTTTACCTATTGTTTAATCCTATAAGAAAACAATGTATCTACTGTTTTACTTTTAGTTTTTTTTTGTTGAATATCTACTGTTTTGTTTTTTTTAATAGAGATAATTTGTCTTGGTTTAATTTTTATGAAATAATTTAGGCACGGTTTAACTTTACCAAAATAATGGAACTACTATTTTAATTTACCTACAAAATAAATGCTATTTGATTCAAAATTAATTTACTTATATTTTACATATAAATATAGATAAATTATTTTTAACAAGCATATATGATAACAAATAAAAGATGCGTAATGTATGTAATAATCTAGGTAAAATAATTTACCTACAACATAAAATAATATTAATTGGTTCTTTGTTATTTTATCAAACAATATTATTATTTAATGCAAAATAACTGATTGTACAAAGTGTCACATCCCGGCCCGGGGTGGATCACTTCCCGAGTCCGCTCCACCATTGTAGCACGATATTGTTTGCTTTGGGCTTACCATTCCCTCATGGTTTTATTTTTGGGAACTCACGAACAACTTCCCAGTGGGTCACCCATCCTGAGAGTGCTCTCGAGCACTACTTGCTTAACTTCGGAGTTTCGATGGAACCCGAAGCTAGTGAGCTCCCAAAAGACCTCGTGCTAGGTAGGGATGAGAATATACATTTAAAGATCACTCCACTTCCCAGTGGGTCACCTATCCTGGGAGTGCTCTCAAGTGCTACTCGCTTAACTTTGGAGTTTCGATGGAACTTGAAGCCAGTGAGCTCCCAAAAGGTCTCGTGCTAGGTAGGGATGTGAATATACATTTAAAGATCACTCCCCTGGGCGATGTGGGATGTTACAATCCCCCCTTAGGGGCCCGACGTCCTCGTTGGCACACTTCCGGCAAGGGATGGATCACTTCCCGGGCCCGCTCCACTACCATAGCACGATATTGTCCACTTTGGGCTTACCATTCCCTCACGGTTTTGTTTTTGGGAACTCATGAGCAACATCCCAGTGGGTCACCCATCCTGAGAGTGCTCTCGAGCGCTACTCGCTTAACTTCAGAGTTCCGATGGAACCCGCAGCCAGTGAGCTCCCAAAAGGCCTCATGCTAGGTAGGGATGAGAATATATATTTAAAGATCACTCCCCTGGGCGATGTGGGATGTTACACAAAGGATTTCTTTTTTCCATACGAAAAATGTGCCCATAATACAAGAAAGGTAAAATTTCCATACCGGGTTAATTGCTAATCATAATTAGGGTGAGTAATAATATATATTGATATAATTTGGGTTGTGTGGCATAAGTTGTAAATATGTGATAATAATTGGTTACATATTTGTTTACATGATACTTTATTCGAAATTTAAGTTTTATTTGGATGTTTAATATTAGGTGGGTTTTTGATTGAAAAAAGAGGAGTTTCAAGGGTCTTTTTCTAAAGAACCCTATAATTTACCCTATATAATATAATATGTTGAAAAAGTTATACTCTAGCAACTTTACCTTGCGACAATCCCCAGTTGTGTGATGCCTAACATCCTCCTCGAGGGGATTTCTTGCAGAGAGAGTGACAAGCCTACCTTGCCACAAGCAGTTCATGTGAAGACCTACTGCAGGCTATTTTGGCCACAACCCGATTGCTTTTGGTCTACTTCTTGGTTGCTTTTGTCTATGACTTTACGTTTGTCCGTATACATAAATAGAAATAGTAATATATGTGTGGCCATTGCATTCTCAGCCAGTCATTGTCCCTGTGCATGAAAACCAATTCTTTGTTTTACTAACTTCTATTTCTTCCTCACAGGCGTAAACACAATTTTAATTGAAAAACATTAAGCGTTCTACATAAAGTGACTAGAGCCCCAGCAAACCAGCGCATAAAAATAAATTACAATACATAAACATCTACGAAGAATCTTTCTTCTAAAAGGAAGACTCGAAATTTATTTATCGGAAACAAGCACTCTCTGCTTCTCAGGCCGTCAAAGGATCTAAAGCAAGCAATTCACCACAGGTTATCATACGTACTGGTTTCGGCAAATGCAACTTCTGAGTTGAGATGAGTTGAGTAACTCGTCTCATTGTAGGGCGAGAATGCGGATTGGGATTCAAACATGAAAACGCAATCTTCATAAGAGAGAGTACTTCCCCTGCTTCTTGATGCGTTGGAGGCAAAATGCGTTGGTCCAGAACATCCATAACTGACATTTGATGGGATGGTAATGTTGATGCTGATGATGACGTGGACGAAGAAGACACTGATAAGAATGATGAGAAAAAATCACCAGGATGCCTTCCCATGATTGTTTCCATAGCAACCACTCCAAAACTATAAACATCGCATTTTTCGTTCACTTTCATAGTATATGCAAGTTCTGCTCATAATAAGACCATAGCAATATTGGGACTATTAGTTTGTATATATTATAATAACTAAACCGAAGATAAAGAGCGAAAATTTTGAACAAACTAACCCGACTCAATTTGCTCGCAAAATTTTAATTAATGGGGAAAGACTTAACAAGCTCGATTAAAATAGTTGGTCTCGAGTAATCCCAAAAAACCCGTAATCATAAATCACCCGTTAAAGAGGGTTAGTTTTGTAATTTTCGAAATCCTATCTAAGAGCTACAGTCTGCAATCTTTCTCTTGCTCCGCCGACTTTGCCCTCTTCTCTCACTCTGCTTTCTCACAATCTTACTCTGCCACTCCGCCCCCTCCCCTCTCACGATCTCTCACTTCGGCATTTGGCCCTCCATCCTCTAACGATTTCTCACTCTCTCTCTCTCTCTCTCTCTTTGAACAATATGAAGCAGCTCGCGCTCTCTCCGCGTTGAATCAATGACAGTCATCTAGAGGTGATTTTACTTTGTCTTTCTTGTTGGGTTAGTGGACTATTAGCTTAATTTGGGTAATGAAGGTTTCATTTTGGCTTAATTTCGATTTTCAACTATAGTTGAATATTGGGTTTTAGGGATTTCTTGTTAGTGTCGTGATTTTTCTTCAAAATTTGATAATTTTTATTAGTGTGGTGGTTTTAGGGATTTCTTATTAGTGCGGACTATTAGCTTGCTAAAAGTTGCTCATAGATGCATCATAATAAAATTTTCATATTCATGTAGAAGTACCTTGTCATCATTCAAATCCAATGAATCAGACTTTGGGTCAAACTAAACTTTTGAGGTCAAATTAATGCTCATTGTTGGTGTTTTTATACTTTTTGTATGCATCTATATTGTATATTGGTATATGATGGGAGGAATACAAGAAATGGGCTCTCTTCGATATGTTTATTCTTGATATTCGATAAACGTTACAAAAGGGGCTCAATTTTAAGTACAAAATATGAATTACGTAAATATCTTGATGAAGAAAGACTTGAGAGAAACCATAAATATCGTAGTTGTGATGTATTAACAATTCTTGTTTCTACTGTCACCTCAGAATCAGTATTTAGTATTGGTGTGAGAGTGCTCGATCAATATCGTAGTTGTTTATTCCCTAAAACCGTTCAAGCATTGTTATGTATTAGAGATTGACTTTTTGGCAAAAGAGGTAAATCTTACATGGTATTTGTTTTCTTACAGCAGTTTCCATGTTTACTACATGTTGTTTTAATTAGATAGTTTTTAGTAATTCATTAACATCTCGATTAGTATTACTTATTAAATTAGATGTTACTATAGTTCACATGTTTATAATTGGTTTATTTTTTTTTTCCAATTTTTTATTATTATTATTTTTTACTTTTTTATTTTATTTTATGTTTTAGCTTTAAGGAAAGAGGGTGCTGACTTATAAGAGCATACAATAAACCCAAGTATCAATTATACGTTAGGTGAATGTTCTTTCAAATTCAAAGCATGTAACATGGTATGTTTAATCCGTCCTAACGTTGAAAAGAAATAAATTTCGCCAAAAAATTAATCATAAACAACACTCAATTAATAAGGTTAAAAGGAAGAAAACATATTACCTGGTGCGACATACCCATATGTGCCTGCAATGGCAGTCCAAGTTGTTGAGCCCGGATTCAAAAACTTAGCAGTGCCAAAGTCTGAAACAGAGGCCTCATATTTAGAATCCAACAAAATATTCTTAGTTGATATGTCTCGGTGCACAATTGTTGGCAAGCAATCGTGGTGCATGTATGCCAAGGCATGAGCTACTTCATCAACAATATTAACCCTTTTTCTCCACCCTACTTCTTTAGCTTCTTCATCTTTGCTCAAAATTGTAGCCAAGCTACCTCGTTCAACAAACTCATACACCAAGAACGAGTGTTGATGGTGTGAACAGAAACCATAAAGCTTCACAATATTCCGGTGTCTTATCTCTGTTAGTGTCCTTATTTCATTCAAGAATGCCGTCTCCAAATTCTTCTCACCATCCCAGAATTGATGTATTTTTTTCACAGCCACTATGTTGTCACTCGGCAAATTTGCTTTGTAGACACTTCCTTGTGCTCCACTCGCGATGCGATATGTGGAATCAAATTTTTCTGTCGCCCTTATGATTTCCTCATACATTGACTTTCCATCAAAATTTAAAACTGAAAACGATATTTCTTCATGCAAGTTTTTTTCTGCTTTTTCTAGACTTTTCTTCTTTCTTTGCACTATGACTTTAATTGTAAAGAAAGCAGAAATAAGTAAAATTGCTGCTAAAAGGGAGAATGTAATTCCAAATACCCATTTGCGTTCCTTTCTTGGGCCAATTGTGCAAGATTGCAAACCTTCAACGTTGCCACACAATCCTTTGTTCCCTTGTAAAGCTTCTGGCAGAGCTTGTCGAAATGCTCTGTTGTTGGGAAGGGGACCTTCCAATTCATTGTAAGATACATCCACATATGACAAGCCATGCATGCCTTCAAAACTTGATGGTATGAAACCCGAAAGATTGTTGTGAGAAAGATTGAGCGTCTGTAGACTCTCCATATTGCTGATTTCAGCGGGTATGCTCCCTTCAAGTGAGTTGTGACTTAAATCAAGGTCGTTCAACTGAACTAACTTTTCCAACTTCAATGGAATTCCTTGGGAAAATTGATTGTTGCTCAAATTCAGATGGTACAGTTTGAGAAAGTTGCCGAATGTGCTCGGAATTGACCCATTGAATTTGTTTGATGACAAGTCGAGATATTCAAAATCAACGAGTGATCCAAATTCCGAAGGTATACAGCCTGAAAGTTGATTTCCATTCAGCATCAACTTCTGCAAAGAAGTCATTCTCTTGAACTCCTTCGGAATGGCCGCAACTAAGTGATTTGAAGAGAGGTCGAGTTTATGGATTTTATCAGCATTGACAATCTCGGGAGGTATGTTGCCAGTAAGGTTGTTTCCCGCAATTAGTAAGGTTTCTAATTTTGCGCATTGTCCCCATTTTTGTGAAATTTTACCATGAAACTTATTGTGACTCATATCTATGAAATCAAGATTTGGATAAACACCAAAGTCTTTTGATATATTGCCTGTGAATTGGTTCCCTTCAAGATGAACTCTAACTAAGCTCTTGCATGTTTTCAAGCTTTTGGGGATTGGACCTGTCAAATGGTTATCGTACACTGAAAGGTTTTGGAGTTGCCCACAACAGCAAATATTTTGGGGCAAATAACCTATTAATTGGTTACTATACAAGTGCAGTGCAGCCAACTTCTTCAAATTCTTTATCTCTGGGGGGATTAAACCACTGAGCTGATTCTCAGACATGTCTAGGTGCACAAGAGATTTCAAATTCCCTATCTCTTTAGGAATAGTGCCAGAAAGATTATTACGATAGAGGTAGAGAGTGGAAAGGTTTGTGAGCTGACCTAGGGATGTTGGGATTGAACCGCTGAGCTGATTTTCAAACAATGCTAGGTGCATAAGAGATTTCAAGTTCCCTATCTCTTTAGGAATAGTGCCAGAAAGATTATTACGATAGAGATAGAGAGCAGAAAGGTTTGTGAGATCACCGAGGGATGTTGGGATTGAACCGTTGAGCTGGTTATGAGGCAATACTAAGTCCACAAGAGATTTTAAATTCCCTATCTCTTTAGGAATAGTGCCAGAAAGATTATTACCATGGAGATAGAAAGTGGAAAGTTTTGTGAGCTGACCTAGGGATGTTGGGATTGAACCGATGAGTTGATTCTCAGACAATTGTAGGTCCACAAGAGATTTCAAATTCCCTATCTCTTTAGGAATAGTGCCAGAAAGATTATTACTATAGAGATAGAGAATGGAAAGGTTTGTGAGATAACCGAGGGATGTTGGGATTGAACCGTTGAGCTGATTCTCAGACAATGCTAGGTGCACAAGAGGTTTCAAGTTCCCTATCTCTTTAGGAATAGTGCCAGAAAGATTATTACTATAGAGATAGAGAGTGGAAAGGTTTGTGAGATCACCGAGGGATGTTGGGATAGAACCGTTGAGCTGATTCTTACCTAATTGTAGGTTCACAAGAGATTTCAAATTGCCTATCTCTTTCGGAATAGTGCCAGAAAGATTATTACTATAGAGATAGAGAGTGGAAAGGTTTGTGAGCTGACCTAGGGATGTTGGGATGGAACCGCTGAACCAATTATTAGAAAGATCAAGGGAGATGAGTTTGGAGAGGGAACTAATCTGAGCTGGAATGACATCAAAGAAATTATTGTAGCTGAAATTGAGGTATTGAAGATTGGGGAAAGACAAGAAGGAAAACTCATGTAGCGTACCTTGTATCCCAAAATTGGTAAGGTTTATCACACTGACACTTCCAACAACATTGCATGAAATACCAGTCCAGAAGCATGGGGCTACTTTTGCATGAGCGGGTAGGTAAGCCCACGAGGTGAGATTTTGCAGGTGGGTATGATTTTGAAAGGTGGCTTTCCATTTGAGAAGCGCTTCTGCTTCCATGGTAGAAGTTACAGAAGCAAAAGCAGAGCAACTTGGCGGTGAAAGAAGTTGTATGAATAAGACAAGACAATAAGCCAAAAGGCAGAGTTTATGAAAATCTAAAGATGTCATGGCCGCTAGCGTTTAATTTCGTGTACATATTAGACTCTTCTCCTAGGGCTTATTTATAATGGCATCCATGAACTATTGTAATTAATTCAATTCAACCCGTACCGAAAGAGGGGGTGGGAGAGAAGAAAGATACAGGACTTGCAAAATGTTTTGTACGTACAAGAGAAGTCAAAGTCTTTGTCCCAAATGTGTGTAATTGTATGGGACCCACCTCTCTCCTTCTAACGGTTATTTCCTATAATATACAATGTACTTAGTCCCAAATGTGTGTAATTGTCAATCTTTCTTCTCAAATATCCCTATCTCAGCCCTGCCCTCTTATTCACATCTCATTTATTTCTATTTTTTTTTCTTCTCATTAAAGTTATTCCGTTTGGTGTCATATGTTCTCTTATCAAATAAAAGAAAATTTGGGAAATGCTAGTGGACTTTATGTTTTATCTCTTTGGAGCAATCATCTAAAGATTATTAAGAATCAGTTGTGACACGTAATGTGTAGTGATATTTATCTTTTTATTTATCAATAAAAGGTATTGTGTTCAACTTTTATGAGCATTAATAATTTTGAAAACTTAATTATGGCTAGGTTAGGGTTGCTTAAAATTTTTACAAGCAACTTTCTTTAAAATGTTGGGTCCGTAATTGTGTTTGGTAAATAAAAAAAAGTTTTTTTATTATTTTTTTCCCCCAAATCATAGGTCTAAAATAGCTAAAAACAGAAGCAACTCTACACATGCTTCTCAAAAAAGCATTTTTTTTTTCCAAGGGACACAAGTGAACAATACCGATTAATGAAACTTTTATATTGACAATCCAATCCCATCATTTTTTTCTTCTAAAAGCACTTTTAGCACTATAATTTACCATTACACTTACCTGCTCTTTTCACAACTATTTATTCTCACAATATAGTATAAGCAGTTTTGAAAGAAAAAATAATACAACAACCCTAGACTAGCCTCAAATCTACCTCCATGATTGTGTCATATAAAAAAAAATTTAGGTTTTAACTCAAAAATAATTTTTATCCTCCAATAGTTTTGGCTAAAAATTGTAGGTCGAGATTATTAAAGAAAGATTTTAGCTTAATTTTTTGTCGGTTAATTTTTTTAAAAGTAAAATTTATGTAAATTATCTTGATTTAGTTTTGTGAACATTTTAACTTAAAAATATTTAAATTCCTATAAACCTGCCCCTTGAAACATGGAAGTCATGGAATAAAAATTACATTTTTATAAAGATAAGGATCAAAACTTTGAAACTTGAAATAGTTCTATTGTCACATCCCGATCTAGGCTCCACCACATCCTAGGCTCGACTCTGCCGTAGCACGATATTGTCCGCTTTAGGCCCCAACCATGCCCTCACAGTTTTGTTTCTGGGAACTCATGCGAGAATTTCCCAGTGGGTCACCCATCCTGGGAATGCTCTCGCCCGAACTCGCTTAACTTCGGAGGTCCGATGAAACCCGAAGCCAGTGAACTCCCAAAAGGCCTTTTGCTATACAAAGGTGGGCATGTATATATAAGGCATAGAGGATCTGCTCCCCTGGGCGATGTGGGATCTAACAATCCACCCCCTTAGGGGCCCAACGTCCTCGTCGGCCCACTTCCAGCCAGAGATTGGCTTTAATACCAAATTGTCACATCCCGGGCTCGACTCCACCGTAGCACGACATTATCCTCTTTGGGCCCCAACCACGCCTTCACGGTTTTGTTTCTGAGAACTCACGCGAGAACTTCCCAGTGGGTCACCCATTATGGGCATTCTCTCGCCCGAACTCGCTTAACTTCGAAGTTCTGATGACCTTGTGTTATATGGAGCTAGGCATGTACATATAAGGCACATCACCCTATCTCCGTTGGTCAATGTGGAATGTTACAATCCATCCCCCTTAGAGGCCCGACGTCCTCGTAGGCACACCCGCACCACACAGCAGAGTAGCTCTGATACCATTCTGTCACATCCTAGACTGGCTCTGCCGTAACACGATATTGTCCGTTTTGGGCCTCGACCATGCCATCATGGTTTTGTTTATGGGAACTCAGACGAGAAGTTCCCAGTGGGTCACCCATCCTAGGATTGCTCTCGTCCGAATTCGCTTAACTTCGGAGTTCTGATGAAACCTGAAGCCAGTGAGTTCCGAAAAGGCCTCGTGCTAAATGAAGGTGGGCATTTTGTTTTTGTAAATTACATATATACTTTATAGTTTCCATAAATGTTTTTAAATGGTTTTATGCATTTATGCCATGAATTTTTTATTTTTTTTTATTTTTTATGCTATGATGTCGTTGAGTTTTATATTGCATCATGGCATACCCATATGCATATTACCTGTATGTAATTGAAGTGAATGGTTTGAAATGTTAATATGAACGCGGGACACACAGGTAAGTCCCGGTAAGGTTATGTGGTGAATTGAATGGTTGAATTATTATGGCATGCTTACATATAGTTCGCCCATCATTGTTGCACCGGTGTTAGTGCTTGCCTCGGGCCATGGCTAGTCTTCACGTGATCGTAGCACTAGAGCGTGTATTATTACACCTAGCCTTATCGTACATGTCACATTAGGTGACTCTGACTCGTATGTTAGTCTAGATGGATAAGCGATAGGTGCAGTCGTACATGTCACATTAGGTGACTCCGACTAACATGTTAGTATAGATTACAGCACATAATCATATCTATAGTGTTGTTGAGAATATTTGTTGTGGTGTACCTCTGGACTTACATTTGGCATCATTTGATTTTCATACTTATACGTAGTATGATATTTTGGAAACAATACATGTTTTACAGCGAAGGGTTAGTATGTTCGGGAAAATAAATGGATTTTATAATCCTTTATTTTTGTGCCCACTCACCCTTCTGTTTTTCGCCCCTCTAGGTTTAGTAGTTGTGTTCACGTTTAAACGAGGACTCTGGCAAATCTCAGTTGATGGTTATCTTCAATGGTATAACCCTCACCCTATTTAATCTACAGTTCTTATGCTCTGACGTCACGTGTGAAATGGGTTCAATCCTGCTCACTAGCGCACTCTTGTCTTTAGGCACTTTTAGGTTTAAATTTATTTACATTTTCCACATCACTACACTTTATGGCTTCGTCACCTTCTAGGTGTCGGCCAGCACAGCTCGATTCAAAGTCCTAGTGGACATTTCAAGTCGGGATATGTCATCTATATAGTATGCTTCAATCTTACAATAATTAATAATACAAACATAATTAAAACGCTAAATAAAGATAAATAAAAGATAAGTAAAATACTACATAAGAATTACAACAATTACTAATACTAATAATATTCATCAACATTTGGTTGACTTGGTCCTTGAATTTGTGGTGGTTTCGTGGTGGGCTTGGGTAATAGACATTATATTGGTCATCATCCTCAAAGATATTCCTTACGGCATTCCTTCTTATAATTTCCACTTGCTTGTCGGGGAATAATTTCTTCCTATTTGAAGTGTATTTGTTGGGGTCCTCCCTCATTACATCAAAATCGAATGTCATCTTGTAAGGGTCCTCCTTCTAATATGATCTTTTGCCATCTTGAAAATTTTGGAAGTTGGTAGAAAAAAATGGAAGAATTGTTTGAGGAAAGTGAATTTTGGGTGGATGTTTGAACAAATACTTGTATTTATAGAGTTTTTGGGTGAATTTTGATTTATATAATTTCTTTTAAATGTTTTAGCCGTTCAATTTATTTTTTGACCGTTAGACTTTTTTTTTTTTTTTTTTACAGTTAATTTAATATAAGAATTCAGCCGTTCGATTGAATTTAATTATAAATTTGATTTCAAAAAATTTAAATATGGACTTTTGGATCAACCAATTGCCCATCGTTTCCAATCGTTGGATCACTAAAAGACCAGTTATGCTAGTGGGTAGTCGTTTGGGACCCAAGAGTTGATGACTTGTCGCATGAGATGCTTCTGATACGTTGCTTAGCTACAGTTGGGCGCTTTGTAGGCGCTTTCATGCGTTGGAGCTCGGGCCACCACTATCCTTGGCTCAATTTTTTTTGGGAGGGGAGGTGAGAATTTGGCCCAAAGCAAGTTTTAACATTTTGAAACTCAAAATTTGAGTTTTAAACCAATCATTGTACATGGTCCTTGGAGTTCCACAAATGCAATTTGGCAACTTGGATGACTTTGGAGTCTTTTATATAAATGCAATTTGGCATTTTGGCCAAAGTCCAAGTCGATTTTAGAGTAGCAAGTGGCCTTCTACCACAGTGGTGGAGAGGAGTGTTGCCCTTGCACCACAGTGTGGGTTCGAATCCCATCGGCTCCCTAATCAAACAAATCTATCGTTCGAGAGAAAAAAAAAAAAAAAAAGTGGACGTTAAAGTCTTCCACCAATGCAGTTTGGCAATTTGGCACAATCTGGCCAAAGTCCAAGTCAAGGGCCACAAATGCAAGTTGGCAATTTATTTCAATTTTTTTCTTCAAACAATAAGAGCTTGATGATCTTAATTGATACTTCCAGTTTTATTTTTAGTATTCTCCTTTATTTCATGACTGTGACAAAATATTTTGCTTTTCACAAGAAAATGACATCTTCATGACTCGGTGTCTCTCAGACCACGAAAAAGTTTTTCCAATTAATAATTTTTCCTCTCGAGTCTGCCATAAATTTACTCATTCCAAGTCAAAAGTCTTTAATTGTTGCCAGCTAGTACAGTGCACCACTTTGTTTTATGGAGCCCACCCCACTTTGTTTCATCGTGCATCATGCGGTCAGAAATCATTTGACTTGTTTTATTTTAAATTAAACACAAATAGTATCTGACGAAAATTGCCGGCACGCTGTATGATGAACGACTGGGATGTGGGGATCTCTAAGATCCCCCACAAAGTGAACCCGGAGAGGATCCTCTTCCACTCATTCTAACGGTTGTCCCAAATGTGTGTGATTGTCAATCCTTCTTCATCTCAAATATGACTATCTCAACCCCTCTTCTTCATTTCTCATTTATTTTTATGTTCAAATTTATCA